GAAAAAATGAAGGATTCAATGTCCCTTTTAATCCTCACTCAATTTTAGGTCACCCTCCCCTTTTTGGGCTTCTAAACCCTGTAAGTGTGATCCACTAGAGAATGCCCAGAGAACAACATTGAGCTTGGTGTTGCAGGATCCAGGGCTGTGGAAACAGGCCCGTCTGGTCTGAAGAAGAATATCTGTGGTGACATGATGATGCTTCCATGACATGGGAAGAACTGAGATTAGAAGAGACTTATACTTGTGTCATATGATTTGAGAGACTTAACGATAAAAGGCAGATTTAGGGTCACAGTGAGAACACATCCCAACAAAGCTCTCCCAATACAACACAGGTTGGTTTGTGAGATAGTGACTTCACTGTTGCTAAAAGTGCTAAAAATGAGACTGAGTGGACATGTGTTATGAGTATTCCAAAAGGGGTTCTTGATTCTTGAGTAAGGAGAAAGATCTGGTTATTCAGAAACCTTAGAACACTAAGATTCGTTGATCAAATGATTCCATGAGTCCTTCATAACATCAGTTTCAAAAGGTCAATACTATGCTCTCAGCTATACTGGAATCTGCTGAACAACCCAGTCCTGTTGGTCATCCACAACGGTTACCATTCACTCAGTGGTCCCCAAGAAAGAGTAGAGGTGCTGAAGCAAGAAGGAGTCAGGTTCCACTTCTGGCTGTGCTGGTCGTGTGACCTTGGGCAAGGGACCTAGCCAGCATGAGTTGCACCTTCTTCTTCTGTAAAAGGACTGTATCTGCCTCACTGGGTGGAAAGGAAGATTGAATGAGAAGAAAACTAAAGACCCTGGAACACAGTAGGGCAATGTTTATTCCAAGTAGGACATAATTTCATCTATCTGTATCATCGATATCCCTATATTGATAGTATAGGTAGCATGATTTGAAGCCATGATTGTATTGCTTTGCGAGAACATGAAACGATTATCAGAAAGAGAAAGAATGAGAGAGAGAGAGAGAGAGAGAGAGACAGAAGGATGACAGCTATAACTGAGCCTAGCCTCAAATGCCATAGCAAACATTTACAGAGCAACTACTATGTGTCAGTCCCTGGAGATAAAAGAAAATATTCCTACTAAGACCCTGTTGAAGAGACATATATCCACAGAGTTACAAAACAGGGCAAACAGGGATAGAAGCTAAAATAGAGTTTCAGGCAAAATTATATGAATGAACAGGGGAGAAAGATGTATTCCAAAATAAGATTTTGGGAAGACTTCTTGGCAGGGTCATTTGAGCTGGATGTTAAAAAGTGGAGGCTGAAGCTGAGGGATGGAGGAGAGAAACATAAAGGTGCTCCTTGCAGATGGGGTTAGCACGGAAAACACGAGGGGGGATTATCTGGAGGATGACATTTGAAAATCTGTCCTCTTCACACGACCCCCATCTTGCCTTTAATATGATTACCAGAAGTCCAGCGGCCAATTTATTAATCTTTGGATTTTAGCAAGGGGAACGCAGGGAGAGAAGGGCGGATTATGTCTAACCTTAGTGGCCTATTCGGGTGATAAGTACTCATGATTTCACCTAAGGAATTGGGAGGGGTCAAGCTAGAGGGTGTCAAACAGAAAATGTCTCTTCACACAACCAAAGGCCCTTCCAGAAAAACGGAAGACTTTGTGGTCAACAGCATAAACTCTTGCAAGCACGAAGACATTTTATTTGGACTGACCAGGGGAGAAGGTTTTTTAAAGTCCCCACCTGTACCATTTCGAGTGTATTCATTGCAGCCTGAGCTGGGCCATGGAAACTCAACGGGGGCCCAACAGCTGATTTGGAATCTCTGAGCCAGTTCTCCTCGGTTGAAATGGAGTCACAGCTCCCCCTTCTGGGAGCTAAAGTGCCATCCAGCCTCGGAAAAGCCTGTGTGGAAAGGCTCTATTGCAGATGGGCCTGAAACCCCCATGTTTTTCTCAGTGCTCGCCTGCACCCCAAAATGAGCATCCAGGACTCTGGGAGCACTTTTGCGTGGGCTTGGCTCTGACTTCTCAAGAGCCTATCCTTCACAGGGATTTACATTTCCCCTTCTCTGGGATGATGAGTCCCAAGTCTTTGTGTGGGTGATGCCTTTATACAGGGGAACACAATTCGGTGCGGAGGTTGAAATTCCCTTTTGGGGACTATAGCAAGGAGGAAAGGTTTCTAAATCTGCATGTGCACATGTGTGTATGAGTGCACGTACACACGTGTGCTTGGACATGTTCCTGTGACTGCAGTATGCATAACTGTATAGGGCAAGATTCTCATTAATATAAAGAAATTAATTTGCCTGAAGTATTTGCATTGGTAGATGGGTATACACTTAACTCTGGAAGGCCAAGAATTCCTTAATAAAGAACTCAGGTACAGTCCGATGCTCTGTTGGATTCTGTCCACCAGTCATAGTCAGTATTGGGTCCCTGCCTGTGTGTAATTCTCTGAAGCCACCGGAGAAGGAATGGATGGTGTGTGTGTGTGTGTGTGTGTGTGTGTGTGTCTGTGTGTGTGTATCTGACTATCTGTCTCTCTGTCTAGTAGGGAGAGTGACTGAGGCATTGGATCCCTTCTCTCCGGGGTCATGTTTATAGATGGAGCACCTCTGAAATGAGAAGTTTGAAGACGGGAGACAGTGATTGTCTTGGGTGGGAGCACAGTGGCCGGTTGGGACTGGGGAACAATACATAGTCCCCGGGCAGTATGGTGAAGTGGAAAGGACATCGATCTGGGTGTCAGGCAGACACCCGTCATAGGTTCTAGCCCTGGGCATACCACGAACTTGCTAGAGAATGCTGTGGAATTCTCATCCCTTCTCCGGGCCACAAGTCCTGCCTTTCTGCTCTTTAATATTCCTTCCAGCTTTAATTGTCACTGAATTGAAAAACAAATAAAACGAGAGTGGATCCTAACACAGGGTGTCCTCCTCTGACTTTACATCCCCACACAAAATGAACCAGGGGGGCCTGCTCTGACATGAGTTTCCCGAAGCAGATTCCTTGTGGCCCCGTGAGGGCTGCAGCCTGAGGTACAAGTGCCTGCAGGCAGCACGGTCACCCACCCGCCAGGGCAGGTCCTTGCAAACACATGTTTGCTTTTATCTTGCCTCAGAAGCTACACGCGCGTGCACATATGCACATACACACACACACACACACACACACACACACACACCCCATCATTTTTAAAACACAATTATATTTCTACTTTTCTTTTCCCCAAAAGGTCTTTTCAGTGGCTCCTTGCCAGCTGGGGTAGACGAGGGGCCGTCCCAGCATCCCAGCCCTTGTCCTCCACTAGCCTCCATGCCTGGCGGCAGAACGGCTGCCTCTTACCTTGGGAAAGTAACAGCTGCCGAGTCTGGAAGCCATGCTAACAGCAGTAAAACTCAGCATTTTTGCTGAGTAGGGCAAGCCTTTAAGAGGCAGCCGGGAATCAAATCAATGGCTGGCCCCAGAGTCCAAACCCAGCAGGACCTAGCCAGGGTGGCCAGGGGACTTACCAAGAGAGCCTCCTGGGAGGTGGAGGAAAGAGGAAAGAGAGACCTGACCCAAACTGTCTTCCTTACTGACATTCTCCCCACCGCCGCCACCGCCCCCCCCCCCCACCCGTGCCCTTGGCAGTATTTTGGAGCCTAGCAAGAGATGTGAGGTGCAAATCGATAGCAGTTTAAGTCAATTACGGCCACATTCTGCCATGAATTCCCCACCCACAACCATTCCCACATTGTGGATCTCCCTCAGCACTGAAACGCACACACACGCACACACACACACACGCACACACGCACACACAATCTCTCTGCTCTCCCATCTCCCTCCGAACTCCAGTGGAGCCATAAGGAGGCACAGTTTATGAAGAGATTCTCTTGGGGCTTCCCAAGCCTTTCTGAAATGGGGAAGGGGAGCAGGGATCTCTTAGGGAAGTGCCCCATCCATCTCCTTCCACGTTACCCACAGCTGCCCCCCATATGAAATGTTCCCTGTGATCCTGTGTAACTATGATGGATGAGAAGGTCTCTGAGGACTCTCCTCCTTTCCCTTTAGGGGGATACATGCAAACTTGCTCAGATCATCCCCAAAAGCACCAGTACCAGGAGGCGCTGTCCTGCTGTTATGATTACACATGGAGAGGCATGGTAGACTCTATCCCAGACTTGCCAAGCCCCGGATAAGGAGCCCACGGCTGACTTCTCTCTCTGTCACCCACTACCCAGTGACTCCAAATTCCCATCAGAATCCTGGAGCCTGCCCAGTGTGGAATTTAAAGTGACAGCATGTCATTGCCTCAGGGTTTGGCCATTTCTCTTTCATATTAAACGATGAGTCCAAGTCTACCAGGTCTCCAACGTTTGGAGGAATTTTCCTTCCAGGGTATCAATATTGGGGTAAAGAAGGTGCTGTCCTTATCCCTGGAATGCTCCCCAAAACCCAAGCCCAGAGCGCCAAGAAGAAGTCCACAGCGGGTCTCCCGATGGCTACGTGATCCTATAGTAAGGATCCCATTCCATGTAAGCTGGAAAGACCTAATTAAAAAGACACACAAGTGCACACATACAAACACATACGTACAAACATGCACACACACATCGCGCTTTAAGTAGGTTATAGGACCTCTCTTTACCTCCTCCCCGACACACACACACACACACACACACACACACACAGAGCACAGCACAGCACAAACACGCATCAAACGCAAACGACGCTGCACACGCAAACACACACTAGCACCACATCAAGTTCCCACCAGGGTACACACGTCGGGAGCGCGCGGGGAGCACACACACCACTTACTAAAACCCGCATTTAACCCCTTGCGCCCCAGAAAGCAGAGCCCTCCCCCTCCAAGGAACCTGCGAGGACTTGGAGGCGGCTGGGCTGCCGACGGAAGAGACGAAGGGTGACGGGAGGGGGAGGGGAGGGGCGGGCGGGGGCGCCCCGAATGCGGTCCGGGGCCGTCTCCAAGGGCAGCGGGGCTGGCGGGCGCTGCGCCCGGCGCCGCCTTACCTGGAGTCAATGTCCGTCTTTGGCGGAGAGCTGCGGGAGGACGCTTTTTATTCGGCTCGGTGGGAAGTTGGGAGAGCCCTGCGTCCAGCTCGCATACCGGGAACGGCGCGGGGACTGCAGGCGTGGGGGTACCTGGCTCCTAGCAGCCTGGCTCATACTCAGCCGTAAAGTCCCCTCCGCAGGTCCCGAGGACAGGCATGAATCCCGGCTCCGGAAGGCGGTCACTACTCCCTCAGCCTCCCGGCTCTCTCGCTCTCGCTTTGCTCTCTGGCTCGCTCGCCCGCTCCCTCGCTCTCTCGCTCGCTCGCTCGTTCGCCTGCGCTTTCCTCCTCCCCCCTCCCCGCGCCAGATCAGTTCACAGCCGTGGGGACCGGGAGCGAGGCGGCCAGCGAATGGAGAGGGAAGTCCAAGTGCGCCGCGGTCTCCGGGAGGGGAGCAGTGGAGGCCGGGCTACGCGGGAGGAGGGACTTACCCGGCGACGGGCGAAAATGAATGGGGGAGAGGCTGCCGGGGGCGGGGAGGGAGGAGCCTAGAGCCAGGGTTTATTCTGAGGAGTGTTTTGTACATCTTTAGGCGGAGGAGGAGAAGGGAGAGGAGGGGAGAAAAAAGGCCTTCTCCGAGGGAGGGGCGGCCTGGGTGGGCTGAGGCAGAGCCACTGGGGAGTCTAGTGGGTCTGGGGATAGGGTGGCGTGTCTCCGTGTATGAGCGCCCAAAGGGACTTTGTGATGTGTCTGTGTGTGTGTGTGTGTGTGTGTGCGCGCAAACCCTGCGTCGTGGTGTTTCTAAGCGTGTCTGTAGCTGTGTGCGTCGCGAGTTATATGAGTTTTTCCGGGTATGCGGGTGCTAGTGCGTCTGTGTGTATCTATTCGAGTGTGGTTTTGTCTGGGGAGGTGACTGTGTGGGTCCGTGTGTATCCGTGTGCCTCTGTATGCATGTTTAAGACTGTTTGTTTCTCTGTATGTGTAGGCATGAGCCCCACGGAACCTCCCAGAATGAAGCAAGTGCTTCTCGGAGCAAGAAGCTGATAGGACGCAAAGTTCTCTAGATACAACCAGAGAAGGTATGGGGGCGAAGGCATTAATACAGAGACCCAAAGACTCCGAATTTAGCCTGAGGTACAGGCTGGGGTTGCTGACGTGGGGCCTCTCCCTGAAGCAGCAAAGAAGGCCAGTACAGGATCTAAATTCTCACGCAGCGCATATTCTCTATGTTTGCTTACTTTGCTTCTTTTTATTTTTATTTTTTTGAATTAAAAAATACCAGCAATGGAGATTGCTAGTTCCTGGAAGCTTAGGCAAGGATAGGTAGCGTCAGTGAAGCTACCAGATGGAGGGGCAAAGAGTAATAAGGAAAAGGTGATGAAAAATTTAAAGGAAACTAGATTCGGTAAAAGTGTCAGCTCCCGCAGGTTAGAATCCTGTCTATGATCCTGGCCAAATTAGTTACCTCTTAAACCTTAATTTCCCATCTGTGTATTCGAATAATATAACTGCCTATCTAGCATGGTTGGTGTAAGATTTAAATGAGTTAATTTATGTGAAAAACACTTAGAATACTCCCTGACACCTTGTGAGTGCCTAAAGCATGCTATCTGTGATTATTATTGTTATTGTTATCATGTTAGGATTATTCAAAGAGTGTTAGGAAAGAGACATGATAACGAGGGAGGTCCAGAAGGGTCTAGGAGCTAGAAGTCTTGAAACAAAATGGAAGAGAAATTCTGGAGTGAGGAATTGAGAACTTGAGAAGAAATATTTAATTGGCAAAGGGGGAAAGAAAAAGAGAGGAGGAGAGAGTGCCCTAATCCGAATGAGCTCCAGCCTCAACAGTGCAGGACTGAAAAAAGGGGGCACAGAAGAGGGGAGCCTTAGCCTGTCCAAATCTCCTCTCCGCGGTGTCTCCTCCTCCACGCTAATTCAAAGGACACGCATTCAGCACCACGGACAGCTCTCCAGCCACTGACCAAGGGAGCGCTTTCTCTGTACCTGGTGGAAGAAAACTTGTTCTGCTTGAACAATTTTTTCCTTCCCTAGGTTTGTGGCCCAGGTTCAGATCCTGGGCAGTGGTTCCCAAGACAGTTCTGTCTTTGATTCGAACCACAAAGAAAAACACTTGCAACACACACTGCATTTCCCGTCCATTTCAGTGTGAAGCTTCAGGTGGCTGTCTATCTCCTATCCCTTCCTGCTTCATTCTTTTGTTTCTTCTCCCTCTCTCTCTCTCTCCCTCTCTCCCCCCATCCCTTCTTTTATTCTTTCTTCCCTTTCCCTCTGTTTTTCCATCAGTCTTCAGCTCAGATATGCCTCCTTGAGTGAGAGTAGGCAACAGCAGCCTTTCTGGGAATGCAGTTCTGAAATCAGTCTGAAACAACCTCGTTAGGCAGCTTCAGAGGACAACCGAAGAACAGACTGATTCTTCGTAGCTATTCTCTTCTAATCAATCTCCCAAGATGGGTTGTGGTCCAGATGCCTTAGAAAGAGGGGATGTAACACTCTGGAACATTTTCCCATCTTCCTCTCCTCCACTTCACATAGTTAATATTTCCCTCAGGGAGCACAGATCTCTCCCCAGATCCAACCACTGTCAGGGAGAAAGAGAAGATTTTCTTCTTCTTCTTCTT